AAGTGCCGAGGATAGTTGTATGACAAAGTTATAGATCCTATTAAGCGGTTTCTATCCTCAAAAAGCCTCGAAAAATTTTCGGAGCGTCTAGGAGAAAGTCGAGGTCAAACTTCAGGATTTTTTCGAGTAAATTGAGTACCACTCGAACATAAAGTTAGATCGAGATCGAATTCCTTCACCATTAGAATCAACTCGTCAAGAGCTACAATTTGATGTATAATTATGCAATATTTCGTTCATTTTCACCGACTTCGGGTTCACCCTCACCAAAAACTTGAGGTGTCTAGAAAACCACTTTCCACACGTTTTTTCGGAAAAGCGTAAGCGAGACCTTTAGATTATTTTTGATGCTCTATACGATGGGCAAAGTGAAATGTTCGCTGCTAATAGTGAATGTAATAGTGGGCGGACCTGCGCGGCAGGATCCGCGAGAAAAAAACAGGTGAGATCCTGCAGAAAAACAACTGGCGAGAAAAAAACCACGCATGTACGCCAAAAGCATTCAGTAAGAGTCAAGGGGGAAAAAGCACTACAAGGTGAGTGTACCCATTCCAGAATGCCAGTCCGCCATCCTAAGACGACATTCTGCCAAGAAATTTTGTACCCATTCTGGAATGTGCTTTTTACCCCTTGGTAAGAGTGCATTTGTTAAAGTATGATGCATAAAGAGAAAATTTTCTAGACTCCCGGCAAAACTCCTACAGGACTCCTGTCACTGGATCCTGCAGGAGTCAGGTGGGACCTTCAAGGGATTTCTCAGAACTTCCGAAGGATTCTGAGGACTTTCGTTAGGCTCCCGCAGGACTCGAAAGTTCCACAGGAGTCCCACGGGAGTCCTGAGAAATCTCTTGAAAGTCCTACCTGACTCCTGCAGGATCCCGTGACAGAAGTCCCGTGGGAGTTTTGTCAGGAAAACAACTATCCTAGTCGAGCTAGGGTAGTTGTTTTCCTGCAGGATCTCGCCTGGTTTTTCGTAGTTTATAAGCGTACATTTCTCAAACAATATCGTAGAGAGACCAAAGAATCTTTGGTCCAACTCCAACTCCGCCAAAAGAATTCTCAACTCCGGAGTTGGAGTTGCCCCGCCTTGCCAAAGATCAATAAATAGACAGAGATTCAATTGAAACCAGTCCATAAAAGCTAAAAGAGGAAAGATACATAAGCTTTGTGATGTGTGGTCTTATTCATCTGCTACGTAGTGTCATTATAATGCACTTAAAATCAAAAATATGCGCCACAAAGTTGTTGGATGAAATCCTCAAGTTTGTGCAGAAAAGATAAAGGATTTTGTTCAAAAACACAAATATCTCGAGCAGACAATAGTTATTACCGAGAATATCGCTGATAACGCAATTTTACACCTTTACTTTGCTATGCACTGTATTCTCAATAGAAATCACTGTTGCCTTTATACAACGTCTTACGTTGTAAATGTTACATAAATCTGTCAAAACCGATGACAGATGGGAGACTCATTCTACATCAAAAAAATAGAGAAAAACGTGATGTCTGTGAAAAAAGAAAGGTACTGAAAGCACACTAAGAAATAATGTGTCGCATGTGTCGCAAATTGCGACATAATCACGTGCGATACCGGAAGCCACCTGCGACACATTCCGCTGACGAGGGAACCTATGGAGATGAAGCACTCAGATTTCGTTCGTTCTTGCGTGGATCGATAGGGCATGTGGAGTGCGTAAAAAGCCTAAGAGGATTCGGGCGGAGACTTTTCCCTTGGGGAGTTATGGGCATTTTACGCATTTTCTCACGTCAGACTGAACTCTCTCGCCTACAATCAAATCTGGTCTCCCAAATTCACTTCGATGACTCGATATGCGTGGTATCAGAGCGGCTATCTCAAGAATAATCCAGGGCCATTTTTCAACGTCGAACAGATTTGTTTCTCGTTCGACAGTGATCGCTGTCATATCAGTAAATGTACGAATACGACATTTATCCAGTGTGCCTATTGTTCGAAAGTTTGTTGTTTCTCGCATTTTTACACCAGCTACCACTATCATTAAAGTGTAGGTTTTTTCTCTCTTAGTTTCTGTGAAGTCCTGTTACTGTTACCTTAAGGGTCGTGATTCGAACTCGAGTTTGTAAATCATAAAGGAATAAAAATGACGAAAGTCAAACAGATTTGAAAGTGTAAGACAGACGAAGCAGTGTTCTCATGGCGTTTCCTTGCCTTTATGGAAAGTTCTGCCTCTGAATGAGAGAAAGTGATAGAACTCTGAAACTTGCAGGATATGAAGACAACCTTTATCCTCACCACCAAAAAAACGTTCAGCCCTCTACGACTTTCCTGGACAGAGTTGTGATTTTTTTAATTTTGCCTGTTTTCCGCTGACGTGAGAAAATGCGTAAAATGCCCATAACTCCCCAAGGGAAAAGTCTCCGCCCGAATCCTCTTAGGCTTTTTACGCACTCCACATGCCCTATCGATCCACGCAAGAACGAACGAAATCGGAGTGCTTCATCTCCACAGGTTCCCTCGTGAGTATTTCTACTACAAAGAAAACAGCGGAAATTAGGTATTTTTTACCGTGGGTGCGCCACGTAATGTCGACGAGCTCAATCCGCCCGTAATATTCACAGACCTTCAAAATATTCAGTTTCCCAGATCTGAAGTTAATAACGTAGTCAAGGCCTCGCATTGGTTGGTTTTCGTCAAAGAAAAAATGTTTAACATAGAAAAAAGGTTAAAAAGACTTAGACAGGGATCTTTAGCCACGAATAACATCAATGCAAAATTGAAAGAACTTAAAAGCCCGAAAATTTTCTTATCTTTTACGTATTGGCGCCACCTATAGCTCATCAAAATTGAAGAGAAGCTGAGAAAAATCCTAATGAAGACTATTGAAAATAGTAAAACATAAAAATTAGCAAGTTTTTTAACAGAGTAGATCCTCAAATGGCCTCAAGAACTGTGTCTAAAAGCTCTTAGTAACGGCGACACAAACATGCGACACAATTTTCTCACAGGAGCTGCCACACAAAATGCGACACAATATTTTTTACTGTGAACGATGGATAAAATCAGGTAAAAATTACGTTAATTTACACTTCATTACTGAAATCACTTAATTAGTAATTAAATCAGAGCACAGATTTCATTATCAAACTTTGTTTCGATATAAATACTAGCTATTTTATACCAGTTTAAAGCAAGCGCGATGGTTCAATTAGGTAAGTCGTCGTCTAGAAATATAAACCGCGGGATCCCGGAGAGAAAAAGCGGGCGGGAGTCCAGAGAATTCCCGATAGATTTTATCTTGCGAGATCTCGCGAGGAAAAACCAGCCGGAAATTTTCTGAACTCCCGCCAGTTTTTTCCCGCTGGGATCCCGCACGTCTAACGGAGTACAACCCCACGGATCCCACCGAATTTTGAAAATTTTTTTTCAGTGGGTAGTCACAATTACACTATCGGATTTTTGGACAAGTTTTCTTTTGAGACGCAGCAGATTAACTAAGTCCGTCTATATCACAAAAAAGAATGAAAAACAGTTTTTGATATAAAAGGGTGTCTTAAAGGAACGTTTCTTATGATAGCTGAGACGCTGATTTCACCATATTTTACCAGTTTTCTCTTCGAGAACATAATGCAATCAGGGTCAATCATTCACTTCAGACTCACTTTGAAGTTGAAATCAAAACTTGCACGCAGATCGATTTTTGTATAAATCAGAAATTCCAATCGTCTTGGATTTGTAGAGTACAGTGTTAGAACTGCTCGATGTTTGTTTATTATAGCACCAATTCCATCTCGTGACTCGAGAATATCTTTTTCCATGTCTTCACCAGATTTTTCATCAGACAGTATACTCAGACCATCTTGTTGGCCCAGTTATCGACTACTCCGCGAACGACTCCTCCGCAAATATTTTCCCTAAATAGAATCCCCACTCTTCCGCAAGTTTTTGTAAATAGATGTTAAGAAAACTAACAAAACAACGGGTATTACTAAACATCCTCATCAAAAAAATTTTAAAATCGCTTCAACCTGAAGTACTGACATACCAGATAAGTACCTGAAATGCTGAAGCAAATTTACACTATCCCTTGCACATATCTTTTACGTGCAACTACTTTTCGAACTCACTCTCACACTGCTCTCAACTGGAATTTTACCTTTCATTTGAAAGAAAGTTTGTACACCCGGTGGAGAATTTGAGACAAATCGCAAATCGATATCTGATCGAACTTTCCTCGAAAACTGCGTCAGTTTCTTTTTCAAAATTTATGTGTATGTGGGATTTCCATGTGGATCCGTTTCTTTTCAGATCCGACCATACATTGATGTGGAATGGAAATCCCAATGGAAATATGGATACATTGATTTCTTTTTTTTCTTATCTTTTTGAAACCATTTTGTAAGCGCTGTTCCAATTCGTATGTCAACAAATGACAATGGATAGCCATTTATTCTAGCAATATATCCAATCTGATCAAATTCATTGTTGAATTGAATAAAAGGAAGACTTATATTGCGCTTGACCCTTTGATAAAAGATCGGTGGGAAAAACAATACTGAACCTCACCTAGTTTCATGACACTCCGCCGCTGTTTTACAGCCTCTTAGCTTTGACCTGGGTAGACCCAATCTCAGAAAAATGCTTCCCACCAGCGATAAGCGCGATTTTCTGTTCAACAAAGAAAATACGACCATTTACGCAAATTTACGACGGTTGCATACGTGTGTGGATACGATTTTAGAGAATATAGTTCATGTCCCACTCTATAATAATAGCCTTAAACGACTTGTCGAAAAAACAGAGAACATGTTGTAAAATTCATCGCGGTGCTGATCAATTCGCGCTGAGAGTGGCGTTGAATCTGATAATTTTGCCGGGAGAGTAAAAGTCATTTTTCTCGGGTTCTGGATCAGCTATGAAGTCAGAAAAAACATTTCCTTACGTAACTTGACGAGCTCTATGAAACTAGATTGGTTTTAAATGAAGCGCAGAAAGATGGTGTAATGACGGGACATTTCAGATGGATTTGCCCTATATACACAAGGTAAATTACACTAGCTGACCGGCCCCAAGCCTTCGGTGGAGAGTCGACCAGCTGGCGAGCGTTACTTATTTTCTGTCGGTGATAATAAGATAAACTAACTTAGTAGTCAAAACTCGAGCTAATAGTAGCCCACACAGTGTAGCGCTACTATAGTTTTTTATAAGAGTAAATATAGTCATGGACAATCATCCACAACATCAAAGAAGAAATTTTATTTTTAGCAGAAAATCGTCTATATCAATTATTAAGTTTACGACTTAGATCCAATTTCATTGAAGTTACGGATGGTGCTGAAGACTAACGACCTGAACATGATTAGAGAATGGTAGAGTGGGGCACTATGGAATGAATTGAAAAAGATATTCAAATGGTTGCGATTATAGCACACTTTCCTATGTATAATAGGCAAATTTTTATGTCTAAAATATTTTCTTAATCAAATGCTTCGTTTATTTTGTACCTATCTGAAGCTTCAATTCCATACTTCTTAATAGGATTCATTTTCTATCTAGTGTTCTAAGCAGTTTGAACTTCATTGTTGTGTGAACTGTATAGTGTGCGAATCTTTTTACTACTATTTTTTAACTGGAATAATTCAGTCAACCTGAACCTTGAATGGCGTGAGGTGTTTAATTAAGTTTTTGAGCCACTTAAGAATATCGATGGAGCATTGTGTTCGTTTCTGTTCATTATTTTAACTCTCACATTTCAGATGTCTAAATTACCTGAAAAGCGTAAGCGAGTCGACATCACCGTTGCACCAAAAAAAGTTGCTGAATTTCGTGCATCGTTACAAGACGCTTATGATAGCTGTGACGCCAAATTTTACGTTGATCAAAATGCTAATGTAACTTTTTAGATTCCATTCTTGTTTATTTGCGAATAGGTTTGTGTTTCTATTATAGACCACTACTCAAAGCTCCGATTACCAAACAGTCACATCCAAGCATTTAGCATTACTTGATTCAGAAGCCAATAAAGGCAAGACCAATTTACCGGTTTATCTTCATTCGTGAGTACTACATATCAAATCATATTTTGGTATTTGAACTAGAAAAGCTGCTTGTTTTAGGTTGGATCGATGGCAGAAAAATCGTCAGGGAGATATGTCAAAATCACTTTTGTTGTCTCATGCACAAAGTACCAATAATTTAACAACAAGAAGTAATATTTCACAGGCAGTGTGGCTCAATTTTGAAGCTGAAGAAAATGAACAAGACGCAGCATTTCAATTGATACGTCTACGCAAACGATTAGGACTCAGTACCTCTTTACCAATTCATGGACCTGGTGGTCAGAAAGCTCTACAAGAGTACTTAAAAAACGCTGAAAATGAAAAGGTAGGATAAAATTATTTTGTCGAACAGCACTCATTGGATTTTTTTATTCTAGTCAAAAATAGAAAACGATGATGCCAATGGAATATTCTATTACTGTTTATTAGCAGGACGCCACCAGTATTATGCTCCATATAACCCATATGATCTTGAAGTGTTACCTGATGGTGAAGAAGCTTTAAACTCTGCTTGTTATTGGACAATATCACCATACAATGTAACTTATGTAAGTGGGAGACAATTGAAAAGAACTATATGACTATAATTTGTTGTTTTCGTTTTGGATAAATGTAAGGAAGTACCAACATATTCTTATTTCAGATACATAAACATGATCCATCCTTATCTGAAATGACACCTGCGTTAGTATGGCTTTGGGAACGTTATAGATACAATTATTTGATCACAAAATATTCTTGCTTTGCCAATTTTCGGTATTTATCTTTGTTTAACATAAATAAAATAAACATTTTATCTTATATTATTCTAGAAAATGGCGAACATTTCGTTGTTGGTGTAACAATGTTCACGAGCAGAAGCGAGATAAAATACTGTAATTTTTAGAAGAGAATAAATTTTCTTATTATTTATGAATACATTTTTTTTTCTTTACCTTTTATAGTGGTATTTTATATCGAAAATTATTTTTGGCTAATGAAATATTTCAGGGTGTTTTAATTCATGTGAAAGCGATGTGTGAAACTCATTATTATGGTCAACCAAATCAAACGGAACCACTCTGTCTACTCGATAGATACGCCTATCAAGAAACATTGACATTAGAAAAGTTTTCTGAAAGACAATTTGCAATGATGGAAATAACAGTTGCAAAGTTAAAAACTTTCATCGAATATGTGGCAGGACTGGCTTATACAGCTTGTGAAGTGAGATATTCTATCACAAATTTAATAAAAGAATATAGACATTTTTTTTTCTTTAGCGTGCTGCAAATTTTGAAAATATCACGTTAGAAGCACTAGAAAATCCGTCAAAATATTTTGAAGAAGAAGAAGAAATTACAAGTTTTCTAGATTCTAAACAAAATCGAGCATCAACATTACGTGATTTAAATTTGAAAGCAAAGTCTAAACAAAGTTGGTGTTAACGTCTATTTAGATTAGAATAATATGAAGATTTCTGAAAATTTAATAATATTTTAGAAATTGGTCCAAGTTTTACGTCTCGAAAACAGTGGAGCAACACGTTATATAGACTATGTCAGTTTTTACGTTCACTAGATTATCTCATACTTGAACTTCTTAGACGACTTGTCAAGAGTGCTGCGAAAGATTTACTTATACATTTACGTGAATCATATTCTGTACAACTTGATGGAGCACAAACAAATGAAAATATTGTAGTTAAATCAGCCTCGACTATTTCAACTATTGCTAAACGAACCGAATCACGTCTTAGTAATGTAACAAGTAAAACGTACAATTCCGAAAAGTAAGAAAAATTGACAAATCATTTATTCTTATGAAAAGTATATTTTTGTTTTTTATTATCAGTTTGAGTGTAAAAGAAGCAAGTTTATATGAACCCATTTCATCGGAACCAATTGATATTCGATCATTAAGTGATACGCATGGTAGAATTGGAACAGATCGAAATCTCAATGATTTATATCCAGCCATTGAACCAAATGATGTTCTTGATTTAAAACGTGTAAATTAAAGAATTTGAAAATAATTGAAAAATTTTAATATTTATTTTCAATTTACAGGTTATGGAAGCGTCTACAATACCCCCACCAATGTTTCTCATTAATCTCCTGTTGCGCATAACAAAAGTAGAAAAAAAAGGTGGAGTAATTCTTTAAAAAAGATATCTAGTATTAAAGTACAACATAGTTTATCAAATTTAGCTGATGATGATTTAATAAAATCACAACAGTACGTATTTCAATGCGAGTTTATTGAAATAAATCAATAGTTCGTCTTTTTTATTTTAGTTTCTCTGAAAATGAATACAAAGTTACTTATGATCTTAGTCCAAGTGAATATGAATTCAAAAATGCGATTCGCGATATTCTTGATGGCATGGTATTAGCTGTGGGTATGTTATTATTCAATTAGTTAAAAATGAATTTATTTTTTAATGAAAAATAACTTTTTTTTATTACAATTAAAGGTCGAATTCCGAGTCTTTTGGATCATCCAAATTTAAAAATATTTTATACCTATCCAAACTATGACAAAAATAATGAAGAAATTGAACGAACACGTATATATGTAACACAAATACAATGGCCAGATGTTGAATATTTATTTGGAGAAGATGAAGATCATCAGGATGTTATACTTGATATTTTGAATACTGTCAATCGTGCATTAACAAATATTCATAACTATGTTAAAGTAGGCGATGACTTTTTTTTAAATTTCTTTCTATCAAATATGTTGCATACATTTTTCAATTGTTGTTGCTTTTTCAATCCAATATATACATTTTATGCTGTATGTATGTTCTAGCGCTACCAAAAATATTGTGATATGGTTTTGTCTTGTATGCAATTAGATATTGAAGAAAGTTTAAAAACAAAAGAATTTACTACTGATGATTATTTATTTTTGATGACAAAACATACCCAACAAGTAGGCATGCGTTATGTTACAAAAACCGATGAAATAATTTGTTTTCTAAAAGAAAACTATACATTTTTCTTTTTATTATTTTTTTCTAGCTATCAAAAATGGAAGAAATGGTAACTGAACAACGTATTTGTTTAATTGAATTACATGCTGAAAAATTTTATAATGATGTCATACCTTATCCAAAACATATTATCGAATGTATTGGACAACATCTTCCACCAATGGCAATTGAAAAAAATGAAAAAATGCAGAAAACTATTCGCGTATGATATAAATAATTTAATAAAAATAAATGTTTAATTATATATACATATATATATATATTTATTGTAGGAAGCACTCAAGTTATTAGATCGAGATCCAAAATCTGTTGAAGAATTTGTTCAACATTTGGCATTATTAAATAAATTTAATAATGATTTAACTAATTTAGAAAATGAATTTCAAATTATAACAAAATTATTTCATATTATTAAAGATTTTAATATGAATATAAAAGCTGAATCCTATGCATTTTATCGATCATTAGCATCTATTTATCAACAATTAAAAGTAGATGATTTACTCATTATATTAATTATTGATATAAAAGTGTTTATTTTATGATTTTAGAGTAGTTTATTATATACTGAAGCACAATGTGATGAAAATGTGCAAAAATTTACGGTTGATTTAGATGATATGATAAAACGTTTACATGATCAAACCGTTGATCTTAAATTAAAAGCAAAAGATCAAGCATTATTATCGGCAGAAACACGATCTGAAACAGCACTTGATATTATTTTAATTTTACAAGAATCATTAACAAAATTATATGAAAAATCAAAAAATTACAGTGCTTATCAAGAACGTTTCAATCAAATTAGTAAACAATCTACAAAACGACGTATATTACCGTAAATTGACTTTTTGTTATACTAAAGATCATTACTTATGTATTTTCTAAATTGTTTTTCTTGTTCTTTCATTTAGAGATTATAAAACATTAAATAAATATCGTCGTGCAGACGTTGTTATTAGTTTACAAACAGTTCAAAATGAATTATCAGATATTGAACATGATATCAATTTACGAAAATTATTGTGGGAATCACAACAAAATTGGACAAAATTGTATAAAGAATGGACAAATACTCCGTTGGAAGCGATCAATGTTGATGTATTACAAAGAGAAATGAATAAATTTACACAAAATATATATATGTTAGAAAAAGGTATATATTTATGAAACAGTTATAGTATTTAGTGTTCAAATATAATTTTTCTTTTCCTCAGGTTTACCACAAAATGACATTATACCAACGTTAAAATATTCAATTATTGAATTTAAGAAAAGTTTACCAGTTATTATAGCATTTCGAAATCCTCATTTGAAACAACGACATTTTGATCAGTTACGCGTATTAGTTGGCAAAGATATTGTCGATGATGAAGGTTTAAAATTGAAAAAATTATTAACACCAGAAATATTACAACATACTGATCCAATAACAGACATATCATCATTAGCATCGAATGAAGCTGCACTTGAAACAATGTTAAATAAAGTAATTGAACGATGGCGACATTTAGATTTTCGTGTCGTTACTCATCATGGAAAAGAAACGTTTATTATAACGGGCTTTGAAGAAATATTGCAACATTTAGAAGAAAGTCAAGTAAGTTTAAATTATAATTACATCATACAGTAATTTTGAATTTTAAATGTAACTGTCGTGTTTAGGTAACAATGACAACAATAAAAAGTTCACGTTATATCAATCCAATTAAACAGCAAGTAGATGAATGGGACAAACGATTAACATTATTAGCTAAGACAGTCGATGAATGGATTGCATGCCAAAGACGTTGGTTATATTTAGGTACACTCATGAATCTTATTTGTTAACCTCATTCTTCTATTCGGTATTATGTTTTCTATGTTTTAGAACAAATATTCTCAACTCCTGATATTCAGCTTGTACAAGAAACAAAGATTTTCAGTCAAATAGAAAAATCATGGAAAGAACTAATGAGAAAAACGGAACAGCAACCAAATGCCTTAAAAGCAGGTAAAATTTAATCTTATACGAACTATTATTCATATTTCTGCACTAAATATTTGTTGTCTATTTTATAGGTACAACACCTGGTACATTGGAATTATTACAAACAAATAATATTCAAATGGAAAAGATTCAACGAGCTCTCGAAGATTATTTGGAAACTAAACGACTTGCTTTTCCAAGACTGTATTTCTTGAGTAATGAAGATTTACTTGATATTTTATCCCATTCAAAAGATGCCAGTTGTGTACAGGTAACTAATTGATGTTTTGTCTCATTTTTATTAATTACAATATTAGTTCATTCAATTCTACTAGCCACATTTACGAAAATGTTTTGCCAACATATATTATCTGGAAATTGTCAAACAACCAATGGAAATTGTTACTTATATGCAATCGGTTGAAGGAGAAATAGTCAATTTTCCAAAAACAGTTCGTCCTCGAGGAGTTGTTGAACAGTGGTTGAATTCTGTTGAAACGGCAATGTACGATGCCGTAAAACATCATATGAAGGTAAATAGTTGCATTATTAGCTCTCATTTGTACACGATATCGAAACAAAAAAAAGCGACACATATTCTCAATGAATTAATGCATGAAGCAAAATTTTCTTCATTTTTTCTCTCTCTCTCTCTTTTCAAGTTAGGACTTGCCGATATAAAACAATCAGATTATATAGAATGGATTCAAAAACATCCAGGACAAGTCGTATTGACAATATCCCAAGTATTATACAGTAGAGAAGTGAATAGTACATTCAATGCAACCAATTCCTCCCCGCATAGTTCACTCTTGGATGCACTTAATAAAATGATTACGACAATAAATAACGTTTGTTTATTAGTATTTATGCATTTAGAACAAACAAAATTGTTAACTGTTGAAGCCTTGTTAACATTACAAGTTCATTGGAGAGATATATTTGAATCACTAATTAAACATAACGTATGTTGTGTAGATTTCAGTATATTTATCATCTACTTTATAAGTATATTGCTTGAGTTTAGGTTAAAAACAAACATGATTTTGAATGGCAACGACAGTTAAGATATGATTGGAGTGATAAAGATACTAATTTTCAAATATTACAATCAAATGGTGTTTTTCAATATGGCTATGAGTATTTGGGTTGTTCTTCTCGATTAGTCGTAACTCCTCTAACGGACAGGTATAAATTGCATCAACGTTAAAAAAAAATCAGAATGTTTTAAAACGTGATCATTTTTAGATGTTATTTAACATTAACGGGTGCATTAAAATTAAACGTAGGTGGAGCTCCCGCAGGACCAGCAGGTACTTATTATAAGTTTAAAATCTTTTCTTCGAATCAATTTTTGACGATATTTACGTAATTGAATATAAAGGAACTGGTAAAACAGAAACTGTTAAAGATTTATCAAAGTCATTTGGAAAGTTATGTTTGGTATTTAATTGTTCCGATGTATTAGATCATAAGGTAGTTTTTGTGAAATGTTATATATTTTAAAATTAATATGTTTTCTATATTTAAACCCGTTGATGAACGTGAACATTTGTATTCTTGATATTTATCTTTTGTTGAATTGTAGACATTAGGAAAGTTTTTCAGTGGTTTGGCACAGTCTGGATCGTGGTGTTGTTTCGATGAATTTAATCGTATTGATGTTGAAGTATTATCGGTTGTAGCTCAACAATTGTTAACTATCAAAACTGCCAAAGATATGCAAGCGACACGGTAATTTTTTCTCTTTTAATATGATTTGTAGTTTTCATTTTTATCTATTCAGATTTTCTTTTGATGGACGCGAAATTAAAATGAATTCATCGTGTGGTTTTTTTGTTACAATGTAAGTTCATTCAACATCATTGAATGTACTGTAACATTTACTATGTTTAACGTACTTCAATAGGAATCCTACTTATACAGGACGTGTCGAATTACCAGATAATTTAAAACCATTATTTCGTCCAATAGCAATGATGGTACCACATTTTGCTTTAATTGGTGAAGTGATACTATTTTCTGTTGGTTTTACAACAGCAAAAATACTTGCATCAAAAATTGTTTATCTCTATAATTTATCCAGTAGTCAATTATCTCAACAAGATCATTATGATTTTGGAATGAGAGCCATTAAATCTGTTTTACTGATGGCAGGTTAGAATTATATATATATATATATATAGAAATGAAAATTATCAAATAATAAATTCATATTTACAGGTCAAATAAAACGTTTGTATGTAAACGAAGGTAAAATGAGTGATGAATACGAGGTAAATGATATCATATTTGTTTGAATAATAGATATTAATAGCTTAGATTTTTTTTAATCAATAGGAAGCCATTATGCTTGAAGCATTACTTGATTCAAATTTGCCAAAATTATTGAAAGATGATGCTATTTTGTTTCGTGGAATATTGAAAGACTTATTTCCAAATGCCGATAGAATTTTAAGTAAACATGAAAATATTGAAAATGCAATACGAAAAGCAATTAGTGAATTAAACTATGAATATTGGCCATCACAAGCTGAAAAAGTAAATATTTTCGAATTAAAATCTATTATTTTAAATGAAATTTAGTTTATTAAAATACTTTTTAATAGGCATACCAATTGTATAATCAAATTGTTCTTCGTCATGGAACAATGTTGGTTGGTAGCAGTGGTGGTGGTAAAACAGCTGTCAGAAATATTTTACAAAAAGCGTTAACATTGTTAATACCAACAGAAAAAGTGGGTGACAATGCCAAATTGCAGGTGAGTTACATGTCAACTCATTGTATAATAAAAGGTATCTTTAATGTTTATCGTTGATGATTTGTTTAGAGTCGAGTAACTCGTCCTCCACAAGTAATTGCAACTGTACTTAATCCAAAAAGTATGGATCTAAATGAACTATATGGTAAAATAAATACAGATACATTCGAATTTACTGACGGTATGTTATCAAATGTAATGCGAATGTATGCAAAAAATAATGAAACTCAAATGAACACTGATAAGGTATGTATTACATGCTGTAGAAAAGATGTATCTAATATTTTTTGAATTTAACTCATATTATCAACAGCATGAACATCGTGATGTGTGGCAATGGCTCATACTTGACGGTCCAATTGATACACTATGGGTTGAAAATTTAAATACCGTATGTATTTTGTTTTTATGAACTATTCTATTCTGTTTACATGTGTCTACTCTATACAGGTATTGGATGATAGCAAAATATTGTGTCTCTCAAACGGTGAACGTATTGGTTTAACCGGTCAAACTCGAATATTATTTGAAGTGGCATCACTTGAAAATGCGTCACCAGCAACTGTTAGTCGGTATGTTTGCTCCGATTTAAAGGGTAAAAAAAGATTTATTTTCATTCACATTATTTTCTATAGATGTGCTATGGTGTACTTGGATCCATCAGATCTCGGTCATCTACCTTTTCTTCATTCATGGTATCGCAATAAAATATCTCCAACTCTTCCAGAAGCCGGTGTTAAATATCTTCATGAACTAATGGATTTTTCGCTTGAAAAAGGTATTTTATTCATCTTTTACTGTCAGTATAGATCAAAGTACCATTATACTTATAGGCTTTTCTTTTATTGATCAAATGAACAATCCATGGCATTTACCAGTGTCTCGATTAAATATTTTACAAACATTATGTTATTTATTATCAACATTTCTAAATTTTATTGAAAAATATGGAGGTTTTGGTGAAGAAGATAGTTCGTCTACCAGTATGTCATTTTTTATTTGAAATATAATCGTTGAAGAATTATATTTTTATTAATTTTTATTCGTTTTTTAGTTGAATCAAGAAACAAATCCCTCGTGTACGTATTACTTATTTCAGATTATTAATAGAATTGTTAAAAATGTGTCATATTTAAAGGGATGATCTATTCGTTTATACACCAAACGATAAAAAACAATCATATTTACAGAAAAATCCTAAAAATTTAAAACAAATGTTAATACGAATCTATGTATTTTGTTTTACATGGAGTTTTGGTGGTGGTTTAAAGGTACTCAGAATCAAATTTAAATTAACTCTCTTATAATACGATATGATTTGTTGTCTTTAGCGTGAAGATAATTTTGAAGATGATAATCTTATCAATCAAAAAGATCAGGTGAAAACAAGTCGTGATCCAATAACACAAGATTTTGACATGTTTATTCGGTAAATATAATTTTATTTTTATTTTAAAAACAAGATAACATTTATATATTTATTTTTTCAGTGATTTATTTAATTCTAATGTAAATTATGGTGTGTATTTACCACCGGAAACACGTACCGTATTCGACTATATGATTGATTTGGATACTTGTGTATATCGTGAATGGGAATCATTGGTTCCCAAAACCGATCTACTCATTAAACAAGATCAAACAGACGCTGTTATTCCAACTATCGATATTGTTCGATATTCATTTTTAATAACAGCATTATTATTAAATAAAAAACCTGTTCTTCTAACAGGTATAGAATATAGACAAATTTTTATAATTATTTTATCAATAAAAGTTTTAATTAAACGAATTTTTTTGTATTTAGGAAACAGTGGTGTTGGAAAAACGATTTTAATGGAATGTTTAATTAAATCAATTACGTCACAAGATGGAAATTTAATTAAACCAGGAACCATTCTTGGTGATGTACTCCAATATCATAATAGAAATCAAACAACAAAAATTAGCGGTATGAGAGCAATGGAGTACAATCAAAATCAAACATCTGATACAACATCTGAATCAGGTGAGTGAATTTGAAAAAGAGTTATGTTTTCTATATGAATAAAATTTGATAAGTCTTTTGAATAAAAGATAAATAAGGTATTATGATATAACTTGATATTATAGGAAAATTAGGATATGTTTCAAAGAAAAAAGGTAAAACAAGTAACGATTGCTTGATCCTATTCCCTTTTCTTTGTAACTAAATAGAGTATTGCGTATCTCATTTGTTTACAAAGTAAAGAGATGTTTTACCATACTTAATGTAGTATTGCTAACTAATTAAAATAGACTCTCTTAAATTCTTTCATCTATCATATGAATTTAGTCAAAATAGAGTTCGATGATAGATGATTTATTTAAAAATGCTTCAACTAGTATTGCTTGCTTCAGATAGTATTTTATATTTTATATATTCCCGTTACCCTTGATTATTTATTTGAGCTCTATCATATATGATTTTAATGATAGTACAATTTTTATCGTAGAATTAATATAAATTTTCTTTTTTCTTTTTTTTTTGCCTTGTCAAGCATTACAGTCCATAAAGATTCAAATGAGTGCTCAGACTACTGGACAAAAACTTGTCACACAAGTGACAAACAATCTAGTTAAAAAAAATCAAAATGTACTTGGTTGTGCGCCTGGACGATGGATGATCATATTCATTGATGATCTTAACATTCCACAAGTTGATTCATTCGATGATCAACCAACATTAGAAGCATTACGATATATTTTACAAACAGGTATCTCAAATTTTGTTAAAATAAACGGATAATAGAAAAAAAGTTTAAGATAAAATGTTTAGTCCGTTTTGGTGAGATAAAATACGTTTAAAAGAATTTTGAAGGACTAAATTGGAATCAAAAATTTATTCTTATTGAGAATATGTATTCATAAATTTGTTATGTGATTTGTTTTTGATTGAAATCTGTTCTTGATGAGAAATGAACGATGTTTGGACGATAAATTACTCTTTTTAATATATTTCTACAAATATTTCAAAAATGTAGATTTGTAGAATAAATCTTTCTCTTCAAAATGGTGTATTTAATAGTTACAAAACAGATTTAGATGATTGAGAGAGATAAACATTTTATTGAACGCTAATTTCTAAAGAACTGATGAAGAACAAAAATATAAATTTCAAAAAGTTAGTTTTATTTGACTTTTGGTTGGATTTAAAATTTTTAAAACTCAAGATTGATCAAGTCTAGTATGAAGAATTAACCTTTAAAACCTAATACTCTTTTCAATGAACATTGGCATAATTCATGTAGAGCAACAACGAAGTCTTACATAAAGAAATTTTCTCCCATGGATGGATTTTATGAAATTAAATTGACTCTCAAAAATTCTATTTAACGATTAAATATTTAAATTTTTGAAAAATAAATTTTTTTCAGAAAAAAATCTTGTTAATTTCAGTTTTTCAATATGTCAGAGTACAGCAAACTTTTCAAATAATCTTGTTTTGCTGAGTTTTTCTATCTCTTTTCTTGACCAATTATCTTTTCCTTCACAATCTGAACTGATTTTCCATCTATAATTCCCCGAAGCGAATGGTTCGCACTTTCACATGTCTGATCCATGACTTTTAAGGGTAATCCGCTTCTTGTTGTTTATTTTGAGTTGATCATAGCCTGATGTAGGGGAAAGTCTGGACTACAAAATAAGACTTGCCCCAGAGTTCCACAATCTTTTCTGCAAAAGTTACGAAGTTTTTAAATTTTTACTCAATTTTTGTAGTTTTGTTAATTTTTTTGTTTCCATGCCTTTAAAATTTATTCTTGTAGTTGGTCTGATAGAGCAGAGTATTTCTCTTCACAAAGAGACCACTTCTCAAAAAATTTTCAATAATTTTTCGAGGATATATGACTATTACCATAAAAAAAGCGACCTATTTAATGTTATTTGTGACGCGGGAAACACCGGTGGCTCCAATCTAGCCACTACTCGAAAAAATGATCTGATTAACGTCAAATTTTTGCCATAGATACGTCAGACTCTATCTGAGATTCTAAATCTTTTCAAAGCGTTTTCAATTTCAACTGTTTCCATGAGAAGACTTTTAACATCAAAAATTCACTTTTTACAAACAACAGCATTTTTTGAATATCTCGAGAAGAAAAGCATATTTTATGAAAAAAAATTTAGAATCTGACATAGAGTCTGACGTATTTCTGGTATAAATTTGTGCTCGAGTCATTTTTCGAGGGATCATAATGTGACTGAATGAAAACTAGGATATCCCTCCCAAAAAACGTGGAAGAACATGGTTTTTATACCCCAGTTACAAGAAAGTTCTTGTTTTTTTTCAACTTTTGAATTGAAATTTAAGATAAAAAAGTTCAACTTGTACAAAATACAATTCTTTGTATTTTTGATCATCCTTTAGTCATATCATATGTTGTTATATTATCATGAAGAGTTAGTTCATCAACAACTGATTAAGGAAACTTTGTGATGTGACAGAGTTAATGACCAAAAGGAAAATAAACAACCGATTCAAAACAAATTCTGAAGATTTCCAAAGTGACACTCGTTTCTCTGCTTAAAAATGAATATAACAAATTTATGAACGCATATTCTAAATAAGCATAAATTTTCTGATTTCAATTCATTTCTTCAAAATTCTTTTCAACATAATTTATCTGACCAAAACTGACTAAAACATTTTATCTTAAAATCTTTGAATTATCCGTTATGTGGTAAACTTATTTCGAAATGTATTTTTTCACATAGGATCAGCATATGATGGAAAGAAAAATCAAATTCGTCCACTATCAGATATTACGTTTTTGGCCGCTTGTGATTCTCCAACATCAGGCAGATCTATACCATCTAAACGGTAATGATATTCAAAAATTCAATATATACATATATATTTATATTATTATTTTCTTTTTTTCTATTTTAGATTATTGCAATCATTTTCAATATTTGCTTTACCCGATCCGGCCGCAAAACAACTATTTCATATCTATACTGTACGCCTTGGTCGATTTTTTACTAATAAAGATTTTTCTGTTGATGTTAAATCTTCATTGTACATATTGGTATCATGCTGTCTCGTAATATATTATCGTGTTTGTAACAATATATTACCAACACCATCGAAAGTTCATTATATATTTAATTTACGTGATTTAGCTAAATTAGCACAGGGTCTCATGCAAGCATCACCATCACATATAACAACACAAGATAGAGTAAACATTTTCTTTAAAAAAATATCTAATTTAACTTTTAATTATTATTTATTATTTTAGTTGGCCCTATTATTTGGACATGAATGTTTACGTGTATTTTGTGATCGTCTTGTAACCAATAATGATATTGAATTATTTTATAAACATTTATCTCTAACAGTTTCTCAATATTTCAAAATAACATTTGATACGACTTCATGGAATGAACATCCATTATTATTTTGTAATTTTTTAAAAACTGATGAAAAATTATATCAACAACTGAATGATTGGAAACAATGTTGCCCATTACTGTTAGATTATCAATTGAGATGTAATCTAAGTGGACAATCATCGTTGAAAATGGTCTTTTTCAAAGAAGCTGTCGAGCATGTTCTAAGGTGAGCGACTCAAACTACGATACGGTGAGCCAAATTTTATTTTGTCTCGTATCAAAAAAATATTTCTATAAAAATAAAAATGATGAACACAAAAAGTAAAATATCTCTCTGTTTTTGAGTTTCATACGACAGTATGGTTTTGAAAATGAATTTTTTCTAGATAATATTCAGCTTACTTGCCCGTAATAGAGAAGAGAACGTAATGCGTTAGACCGAGTTAGACTGGAAAAATGTTTTTTCTCCATGGAAACAACTGATAATAATTTTTTCTATTTCACAAACAGCAAAAATGAGAAAATATAGTTCAAATTTGTTTTTGTATATGGATGTGGATAAAAAAAAAAACTGCAAATTTCGAAAAACATTTCTGAATTCGATTAACTGTCATTTTACTACATAGCAATCATTAGAGCATTGGATAATTACCCTGTATTATAGTTTCAGTTTAGAAAAGTTGTCTCGACAGAATATTGAATTGCATTTTGTTGATTGAGATAATCTTACGATTTATAATTAGACTTGTTAATGCCATCATCAGGATGGAAACGTTAACAGATTTTTAGTCGAAGAAAGTTTGGGATAATTATCAACAAATATTACAATTTTTGATTTTAATCCAAATTATTATCCATTGTTGAGAAGAATGTGTGTTACCTAATTTTTTGAATAACTTTTGAACAAAAAGTACCATTGAAAGAGGAGAATTGGAGACGTCTTTTCAATAGTAAAACAACTTTGAAAATGCATTTCGAATGTAGGATTTTGAGAAGATATTTGGAAAATCAGGCTGGTTGTTGGGAAAATGTTTATTGTAGATTTCTTACATATACAGTATAGAATAGTCTACATACTGTATACTCTGAAGTTTTCAACTCGTTCTCATACTTTTTGGGCGAATTTTGGATTCTTCAACATTAGATAAACACTCTAATTTTGTAAAACTTGCTTTTATCAGCCTTTGGGTTCCTAAGAAACTCATTACCACGCGCGAGTCATTGAAAATCAAGATTTTGCTTGATTACCATTTTTAAGACCACACTTCGGGCTATTTACTCACGGAGAGAAAACACTTTTTATCCACTTGCTTTTTTAGGGAATTAAACTGGTTTTTCAAAGATCTCCTCAAAATCCTATGTTCGAAAAGCCTTTTTAACTTTGTTTTACTAAGAAAAAGACGTCTTCAAGTCTTCTCTTTCGATTGACGACGTGCGCATGACTTTGCCACTTTTCGTTCAAAAGTTATTCAAAAAATATTCACACACAATCTTTTTAAAAATTCATTTATTCTAGGATATGTCGTGTTTTGCAACAACCTGGTGGTCACGTGTTACTAATAGGATTAGATGGTACTGGAAGACGTACATGTCTAGAACTTGCATCATTCATATCGGGTCACATGATCTATATGCTTAGTTTAAAACGTGGCTATGGTGATGAAGAATTTCGAGATGATTTAAAAAACGTATGTACACAATTATTGGCTTAAGTTCTCTCTCCCTCATTACACATAACTCTTTTTGTAAAAAGTCGATATCGAGTTAATCACATCATCGGATAGTCGAAGGTGTCTAATATCAAAATCTATAATAATCTGGCATTTATTGAAATGTTTTAAAGGTTTTTGAAAAGTTTCCTCAAACCTTGATAAACTGACTATTCGAAAAAAATGTGCTTTTCTAATAAACAGTTAAACATAAAAGTCTTTTCAATAATGCAAGAATGTAAAAAAAACATGTTGATGAAAATAAGACGTTTTCTAGTGCTGGTTTATGTTTTAATCAAAAGTAGTGAGTTTTGCTAGAAGTTTACGTTGACTGTGAAGTATTTCGCATTTGCAAGAATTCTGAATCAAGTCAAATGCTGAAGAGCTACTCGGATTGGTCTCAGATCAAAGCCAACACGTATAGCTGAAGACTAATAGAGTCTGTTTTTTATATTTAATCTACATTCGTGATTAGAAAAGCATTTCTGTGCAAGTTCAGGACACTATTTCGATTTTTTGACTTTGACGCTTATCATAATTCGGGAAAGTACAATGATCCTCCCGAGCTCTCCGTGACGTTTCATTATCGAGAAATCGTGTAGCTACAAACAGTCCCATTTTGACCACTAATTGAGCGATATTTCCGAAACGATGACAGTAGACGTCTCAAAATTTTTATCGAAAATATAAGGCCAACATTGTCTCAAAGTTGAGTTCAAATCGTACTTATTGTTGCCGAGATGGGTTTCTAAGGAAGAAAAGGGCTTAATTAAAATGATCAAGAGTACGAACTTGAAATGTTTATTTTGTGACAGGTGTTCAAATTAGCTGCAATTCAAAATCGACCAGTATCACTATTTATTCAAGAAAAAGACGTGATATCAGTAAGTAAAATATTTAACTTAGTCTACATTCTAAGCATTTATTACACATATTTTTAGCGTCTTCAATTTAGTGGTTTTAGGTAAAAATTTACGCTTTTGCTTGCTATAATGTCTAAAATATGAATATTACTTTAAAAAATGATTATGCTTATATCTGTTGAAAGCATAAAGTAACTGAGCATCAATTTCTATATTATTATTGTTTTTTTTAGGATACTTTTATCGAAGATATTGAAAGTATTTTAAATTCTGGTACAGTTGTTGATTTATTCGAAACAGATGAATTTGAATCAATGGTAATGGAATTAAAGAATGATGCATATGCTCAAGATAATCAAAATCAATTGACCGACTTCTTTTATGATGTATGTAGGAAGAAATAATTTGAATAAAAAATATTTATTCTATTAACATTAAAATTTTTTCTTTTAGCGTATACGTACAAATCTTCATGTTATTTTATCATTCAGTCCTGCTGGTTCAACATTTCGTGAATATTGTCGATTACATCCGGCTTTACTCAATTGTACAACAATCGATTGGTTCAAAGATTGGACCGAACTTTCTATGCTGCAAGTTGCCGATGTATTTCTTGAAAATGCTGATTTGAGGTAATTTTAACAATAATTATTTAAATTTAAAATTTTGGAAATAATTTTCTTCTTTTCAAGTATTCTCGATGTTGATGCAAATGAAGATCTTCGAAATCGTTTAGCTCAATGTTGTGTTCAAATTCATCAGAATGTTACAAATTTGGCAAAACATTTTTATGAATCTTATAAACGACATTATTATTTAACACCCTCATCTTATATGGATCTAATGAAAACATATGTTGACATGATGCAAAAGACAAAAGCAGAATTTTTGGTTAGTGCTTTTGTAAAACTGATTTTCTTTTATTAATCAATAGAATAGAAATTTTATATTTATTTTAGAGCAATTATAATCGTCTTTCAACTGGACTTTCAAAATTATCTGAAGCAAATGATAGTGTTGGTATTATGCGTGAAGAACTGTTATTATTGAGTCCACAAATAGATGCAAAAGAGAAGGTCTATAAATTATTTTAGAAAAAAATTTCTTTTTTAAATAGAATATTTGTATTTTATTAGGAAATTGAATTACTTTTAATACAACTACAAAAAGATCAAATTGCAGTACTCGAAGTGAAAGAAATTGTCGAAAATGAAGAAGAAAAAGTTCGAAAAGATACACAAATGGTTGAAAAATATGCTGAACAAGCTGAACATGATTTAGAAAATGTTATACCAATATTACAAGATGCTATGGCTGATGTATCATTACTAGAAAAAGCAGATGTGGCCGAAGTGAGGTAAAATGAATAGTAGAATTAATATACTATTCTAGTTTAATTAATTTTATTTTTATAATAGAGTATATCAGAGTCCACCATATCAAGTGATGATGGTGATGTGTGCTGTATGTGTATTATTAGAAGCAAAAGCGGATTGGGCATCTGCCAGACAAGTTCTAGGCGATCCTGGATTTATTCATAAAATGACAAATTTAGATATTAATAATATTAGCGACAAAGTATAACGTTATTATCTAATATTAATATAAAATTGATGTTTATCTCTATTTAAATTCTTTTAGACTTATAGAAAATTGTTACAATATTCAAAAAATCCACAATTTACTCCAGAAATAATTGGTAAAGTGTCATCGGCATGTAAATCATTTTGTAAATGGGTAATTATTTGATTAATGATAATATACATTTTAAAATTTGAATATATACCATTAATTTAATATAGGTATTGGCTATTCAACGTTATTATGAAGTATATCGTACCGTTAAACCAAAAGAAGAAAAAGTAAGAACAGCAAATGAAGCTCTCGATGTGATGAGAAAAAGTTTGGCAAGAAAGCAAGAAATGTTAAAATTAGTTCGCGATCATTTAAATGAACTTGAAATGAAATATCAAAATAGTGTCGATGAAAAACGAGCATTATATGAACGACGAGAATTAATGAATGAAAGAGTGGCACGTGCTGCTGAATTAACCAATGTATTGGCTGTTGAAAAGGTATGTATAATTATAGAAAAAGCGAGTACATAAAAATTTCTTTTAATATAAATTAAAGTATTTAAACATCGATTTTAAAAAGTTTTTGTCTCTTTAATAAATTGTTTTTTCTCCCAGCCATCAGCCGATGGAGAACCGGCATTGATCAATAAAAACACGAAGATTGAGTGAAAAATTCGAAATCATATAGGTAGAAAAATAACACAAATTTCAATGAATACAGAATCAAGAGTTCTGGGAGATTTCTAGAGGATCTCTACTGGCCTAACCTAAAGAAAAGTATTTTATGTCGACAAAATGTTTAAAAACTATCCACATTAATAGAGCAATAAATTTCCTACAATGTGAAACGCTATCGAACTCTTCACGATCTTTTGTTGCCTCAAAACGCTTTATTTTTTCTATATGACATGTATGTCACTCAAGTGGCAATATTTAAAAGTTATAATGACAAAATATTGTGAAGAGCTCGGTAACGTTTCACATTGTAAGAAATTTATTACTCTGTTGATGTAGATAGTTTGTAAACGTCTTTCGAAGTAAAATATTTTTTCTTTAGATTAGGCCAGTAGAAATTCTCTAGAAATCCTCCAGAAATTTCGTGTTCATTGAAATATGTGTCGTTTTTCTACTCATATGATTTAGTTTTTATTGAATTTTGGTGAATATTTACTTAGAAAAATATTTTTCGGAAAAATTGTTTTGTAAAAGGTGAAATTTATATTTTCTTTCTAAATAACGCGAGATGAGCTCTATTTAATTATGTTAAAAATTTCTGCTTCAGTTCATATTCCGACATCTTCCTATTTTGAATGTTTTTTTAATTTAAGGTTCGTTGGCAAGAACAACTGACACAATTACATCATAGAATTAAATCATTGATTGGAAATGCTCTTCTTTCGGCCTCGGCCATCAATTATTTTGGTCCATTTAATTCTGAATATCGTTTAAAATTAATGACTGAATTTCAATCAATTTTAACAAAATACAATGTACAATATTCAATGAAGTTTAATATTATTGAATTTTTAACAACTAAATCTGAAATTAGAAATTGGATAAGTGAAAATTTGCCAGACGACGAATGTTCAATGTAAATATTTTAGAATGTCTACGTAATCTAATAATATAAAAATATTTTTACATTAATTTTAGTGAAAATGCCACATTAGTTAAACATTCTACAAAATGGACACTATTAATTGATCCACAACGTCAAGCAATAAGATGGTATATTTTCTTCTTTTTTCTTTAATATTCTATTTGTTTTTATTGAATTTAAAGGATTCGTACAAAAGAAGCCCCATTTAAAGTACGAGTCATATTGGCTGATGATCCGAATCTTCTTCGTACATGTGAACAATGTATTAGATTAGGAGTTCCTCTTATTATTGATCAAATTGGTGAAACAATTGAACCATCATTATTACCACTATTAAATAAAGATATAGTTTCACGTTCGGGTGGTGTACCATCTATTCGTTTAAATGATGTTGAAATTGAATATAATCCAAATTTTCGAGTCTATTTTATAACACAATTAAGCAATCCTCATTATTTACCAGATATTTGTATTCGAGCAACATTAGGTATTGATCTTTTTTCTTCTAATTTCATTCATAATAATTGATAGACTCTAAATTTTTTTTTTGTTATATTTTTAGTTAATTTTACCATAACACATAGTGGTTTAGAACATCAATTATTGAGTTTAGTTGTTTTAAATGAAGAACCAGAATTAGAACGAGAACGTAAATTATTATTAGAATCTATGGCACAAGATTTGAATACATTACGTAAATACGAAGATTTAACATTAGAATTATTAACAACATCTGAACAACATTTACTTGATCGTAATGATTTAATAGAGACATTAAAAAAATCAAAATTAATGAGTGAAGAAGTTAATTCAAGAATAAATGAAAATGAAAATAATGAAAGAAATATAAATATTGCTCGTGAATATTATATGATGATTGCTGTTCGTGGAGCATTACTTTATTTTCTAATTGAAAATTTATCTAATTTAAATATAATGTATCAATTTTCATTAACATGGTTTCAACGAACATTTCATTCATGTATTATTGATCATGATCCAACAAAACGAGTGAGTTTAACAAATATAACTGACTTTGATTTAATGCAACACTTGAAAACACGTCGAAGTGGATCCATTGGTCTCGTGTCATCGTTAACATCGCCTAGACACAGTATAAGTGAAAATATTGGAGTTTCAAGACAATCAACAAATATAGATGATTTACCAATGAATAATGTACGTACACGACGTAATACAAAGCCTTTCGTCTCATCTATAAGTCCTCATCAACGTACATTACAATTACAAAATATAGTTGATAAATTAACTTATTCCGTTTATAAACTTGTTTCATGGAGTTTATTTGCTGAACATCAATTATTATTTTCATTTTTATTAACAACAACTATTGCACGTGAATTAAAAACTAAAAATTCATCAACAATAGCAGAAACATCTGAAACATCAGAAACAATAACAGTAGTTAAAGATTTTGATAATGAAAAACGAATGATTCATAAAAATGAATGGACATGTTTTATGGGACCATTAGTGGCAAATATGTCACTTGCAAAATTAAACATAGTTGCCGAAAAATTACCAAATATTTACAATTTATGTGAAATATTATTGAAAGAACAATTTATGGAAGAACAAAATCCTTATACATATTTAATTCAAAAACGAGATAGTGAAGGTCAGTTTTAAATAATATTATTCTAATTGAATATAATGGTGAACTATTTTACTCATATTTTTAGTTGTAAACGACAATAGTCCATATTATCACTTAACAAATTTTCAATGTTTATTACTTGTTAAACTTCTTCGTCCCGATTTATTATTACCATCTATTTCCCAATATGTTAGTATGCAATTAGGATCAAAATTTCTTTCATCAAATTTTGCTAAAATCGAAGATGTTTATGCTCATTCAACGCCACAAGCACCTATTATTTTACTTTTATCTTCCGGTATGAATTAATATTCTATATTAATATTAATATTAACAAAATAAAATTTAAATTATTTAATAGGTACTGATCCGACAAATTTATTGATACGATTTGCAAAAGAAACACGTGGAAGTGCATCTCATTTGGATGTTGTATCACTGGGACAAGGACAAGGTCCCAAAGCAGAAGAACTATTATCAAAAGCTCTAGCTTTGAAAGGAAGATGGATATTTATACAGAATTGTCATCTCGGTGGTTCATTTATGCCACGTTTAAAAGCATTAGTAAACAAGTAAAATAATTCATTATTCAAAATAGAGTAGAAAAATTTTAATTTGTTTTTTTTCATCATTTAGTTTTAACAAACCCGGTTTAGAACTTGATAGTCAGTTTCGACTCTTTTTATCATCGAAACCAGATCCCAATTTTCCCCTTGAAGTATTACAACTTGGTTTAAAAGTATGTCTTCATTTTTTTATTTTTTTATCATTTTTATTAGATTTTTACCTATTTTTCAATATACAGATGACAATTGAATGGCCTAGAGGATTGAAAAGTAGCTTACTTCAAACATTTGGTGCTAGTGGTATTGTTAACGAAAAATTATATGAAGATAATAGTTTAGGTTTGTATTAAATTAAATTAATTGTTGATTTTGAATGGTTATTTATTTACACATTTTATGTTGCAGGACCGTACTGGCGAAGACTTGTTTTTAATCTTGCCTTTTTTCACGCAGTTATTCACGAACGAAAAAAATTTGGACCATTAGGTTGGAATTTGAGTTATGAATTTAATAATTCTGATTTGGAGGTAAATAGAAAAACAATGTCGAGAATTTCAATTGAATTAAAATTTGATTAAATTTTAGGTGGCTGTATTAGAACTGGAAAATCTTGTTCGATATTCAAAAAATGTAATACCATTCAATGTTTTTTGTTATCTAGCTGGTAGTGTAATCTATGGTGGGAGAGTCACTGATGAATTTGATAGACGAAGGTTATTAACAATTATCGAAAAATTTTATTCAGAAGATACGTTAAAAGAAAATTACACATATTCAGATAATGCTGTAAGCCTAAAGAAAATATGTTGCAGGCAAAACTGAAATTCTACGTTTGTCTAGATAAATTTGAGATTCGATCAGACAAACTTAAAACTACCCAATAAAATATAAATTTGTCGATATTTTTTATGGTTATTTCTCGATATCAGGCAGATTTTAGATCTGTCTGTGAAAATCCTTGACACAAAGTGAATTTTACTGTAGAAATCAATTTTAACATCTCTTTTGACTTTATGAATCATCTAGAACAACATCCGATGATCACTAAATCTATGAGCGTGGGTTATAAACGCATGTTCGCTGTGAGTTCATATGAAGTACGTCTACAGCTATTTCATTTATGCATTTGCGTCTCGCTCTTATGAATCGAGTATCCTCCGGCTATGGTTAACATATCTTTTAGTTTTCAATCCCAGAATGATTACGTACATCTAATTTGCTAAAAAATTCATATTTTAACAAGAGATTTCTGAATTCTTCAATTTTATTGGATAATTTTAAGTTTGCATAGTTGAATCTCTAATATTGAGACAATTAAACTGACAATTTTAAACGGTTTTTTTGCAAGCTTTCGAAACTTCTCGCTTCATCATCAGGCAAAATTTATACGTATTTACAGATAAATGAAACGAAAAAGGTAAATGAAATACACGAGAAGAAATTGTCGACGCCACTCGGAGCAGTATGTGATCATACCATCAGCAAACTCATCGATATGAACAAACTTATGTACAATCTATCGGACAAGGAGCTAACTGCAGCGCAAATGAAGCTATTGCGCAGGGGATGGAAGTACTGCATTGAACAATGACTGACAGAGAGCTTGAATTTAAGAACGGAAGTGGAGCTTAGATGTAATGAAGAAAAAAATTGATGAAAAGCATCCGATGTGGGATAGAATTTGTAATCAGATGAGAATCATAGTATTCGAAATGTTAAGATAGGCGTCAACAAAAATTTTGTCTGATGATGATGCGAGAAGCTTCGAAAGCTTGCAAAAAAATGTTTAAAATTGTCAGCTTAATTGTCTTAATATTAAAGTTTTGTAAAATAGCACTATTATACAAAAATAATCTGGTTGAATCTCAGATTTATCCAGACAAACTTGGAATTCTGCCTTAGACTGCCTGCAATATGACACATATAGAGAGTTCATATGAGAAATTTTGTTTTTTGTCATTTATTAATTAGATGTACAAAGCGCCAAGTTTAAATTTAAATTTTACCGATTTATTATCCTATATCAAATCTCTACCAGATTATGATGATCCAGCAGTGTTTCAAATGAATCCTAACACAAATCGAGCTTTAATGATCGTTGAAGCTACGAAAGTTGTTGATATGCTAGCAACAATCGAACCACAATATAGAATGATCTCATTCGGGTACTTTCTTTTGAAAAACTATTATATTTATCAAATATAAGATAAATTTTTTCATTGTTCATTCTAGTTCATATTCAGATGCTGATACAGCTTGTAAAACAATAATAAAAGATTTGATCGGAAAATTGCCAAATGAAGTTCGAATAGGTTCTGGTGGAAGACATTTGTCATTAACACAAGCATTGAAAAAAACGGAAGAAAAATTAAGTAGGTTTTTTCCATTTATGTAAAATGTATTTTATTCATTAAATTTTACTTTAGATACAAGATATCATGAATATTCAGTGTTTTTTGGCTTATTTAAACAAGAACTACACTCGTACAATGATCTGTTACAATTAATTCATAATACCTGTCAAGATTTAGATCGTGCATTGAATGGAGAAATAGTCGTTAATGAAACATTAGAAAATATACAAAAAATGTTAGTTATGCATAAAGTACCATTAGCATGGCAGGTAAAAGAAAAATTATTAATGTAATAATATTATTTTTCTAATTCTAATCAGACTAACATGTCACCTAATTAATATCATCATTGCATTCTACTCATGTAGGAGTTTAAACATGAAAATGGTGTAAGTTACACAAAAAAATATTTATTTTAGGAAATTATTAATGTTGTTCTGTATCTATTTTTACACCTTCCAAAGTTTCCTAGAAGAATCAGACAAATAAATTATAGAGGACTGTGCACTGTTCAAAAAGTCATTTCGTGATGTATGTGATCTTATTTTAGTTATTTATAGTGAATCACAATAAATTTTCTGAAATATTAGATCTAACATAGCAATTTCTTCCTATTGTGATGTTTCGTTAGTCAACGGTAACTCATAATTCATCCAAATGACAAATTTCTAGATGTACTTATTTATAGCTGCTAAAAATGAATAGGTACCTGTAGAAAAAAATACACAACATAAACTCTACTGAAAATTCATATGATTCTTCATAAAGACATACACTTCTTCTGGAGTTTCAATTTGAAAATCATGTTCAGCAGATATAAATAAGTCCTGTATTTTGAGACTACACTGAGTTATAATTCACCAAGATCATTAGAAGACAGTTTAGTGGCTTGAGTCTACTTGTCAGAATAAAAAAAATTCATAATGGTTTCTTGTCGCAACAATTTACTAAAAATGAACGAGCATGATATGTGAAACATTCTTTTTAATACACATTTTGTAAATATGTTTTGACTACCGAGAAAGCGAAAACAATATCTCATTTCGTCCGTTCAAAAGTTATTGGATAAACATCAAAGTTCATTCTATTATGAAACGTACAGTACAATATTCTATTTTTCATGTATTTCATTAGGTAAACACCCTCGTCGATGAGCACATATACCTCTAGAACACATTTAGTACCAGTAACATTTTGTTTCTCTCCGAATATCACCAATTCACTGCATCTCACCATTAATTTTACTAAACGAATTGATATTTAGTTTCAAAACAATTAGAGCATTTTATCACTAAAAGTGAGCAATAGAAATAGAAAAAAACCCCATTATCCCGTGACACGAATCAATGTAAATCACACAATAGATAAAATAATATCTTTCGATCGGTCCACAATTTTCAATTAGATATTCATAATGTATTTTAGAGAAAATCTTATCCATCAACAAAAGCATTACCAGGATGGATCAATGATCTTTTAGAACGTTTAAATTTTTTTACATCTTGGTCACAAAAAATAATTGCATATGCTGAAGATCAAGTTACTTCATCATTACCACAATCATTCTGGATTGGTGCTTTTTACTATCCAAAAGGTCTGTCTCAGTTTAACTGTATGGATTATGTTATTTCAATTCAATCGTTCTTTTGTTTTTCAGGATTGTTCTCCGCTATATTACAAAGTTCGGCAAGATCCATGTCATTATCGATTGATCAATTGAAATATAGTTACGAAGTACTAGATAATCTCAATGATGACTCGACTATTTCACAAGTAAATATAGTAAAAATCAATCACTATACAAATAAAATATGTTATTTATCAATTTTTTTCAATTCAGTCCTTGAATATAGCTGATGGTATTGTTGTTGATGGTATTTATCTCGACGGTGCACAATGGGATACAAATACTCATCAGATTATTGATTGCACCGATCAAACACGTATTCATCGACTACCACCATTATTGTGTAAACTAATTTCGGTCAGTAGATGGATGTCTGTTTTCATTCGATAACATTGGCCAAATTTTATTTATTTTTAGAAAAGTAATGATTTTACAGCTACAGAACAATTATCTACAATGTATGAGTGTCCTATTTATCGGACATTGTTAAGAGCTGTAAGTGCCAATGAGGCAGCAAAACATTTAGTTCATACAATAACAATACCATGTTCAGAAAATGAATCATTTTGGATTACACGATCCATCGCTGCAACAATTGAAATAGATGAATAAAAATAATTGTTCTTCACTTTTTCTAGTCTTCTTTAATTTCTATGTTTATTATTGCAAGATGTTAGTCAACTTTATTTTCATTGTTAAGTTTCTGCTTATATTTTTATATTATATTACACAAGTTGAAGATGTTTGACTCAATTCTTGATTTTTAATGCGAGTTATATAAAATTAATAAAAAAATACAAAAGAAAAGCTATTAGATTGAATAGGGTGAAGTTGTATAGAAAAATGTACCAGGAGATACAGTCGGCACATTCGATTGATGCATTCCTGTATTATACATAAATGTTGTTTGTGTTGGTGGCAATTGCATGTAAGGTGTTGGTGTTCCATACGACATTGTTGATAAGCCAGCGGGTGTTTGTAAAACCATTGGCATTGTTGTCGGTACTGTTAGTGATGTATTTGTTGTCGAATTATTCATATTTGTATGTTTTGGATTTGGAGATGTTGTACGTGTCAATGATGGCGATAGTTTGACATCATTATTCGGTGTTGGCATCATTTGTGGCATATACGGTTGTAGAAAATAGTTATTAAATGGATAAATCGTTGTTGGTAATGTAAATTGTGGATAGAATTGTGTACCGGTATTTAGAATAAGTCCATTATTAGGTTGTCTCATGGTTGATAAATTATTCATAGTTGGTGTTTGTGATGCATTTGGTAGGCCAGTTGGCCGTATTTGCTCATCATCGGCTTTAAATGATCTTATTTCAGGTTTTTCATCAAATGTCACGTTACGATGCTTTTTTAACGTTTGCGGATGACCTTTCAATACTGCGACATCATAATGTCCATCATTTTTTTGACTAGAGATTAAAACAATATTGACACCTGAACGAGCAATAAAAAGTGGTTTAATTGTTTCAACTGGATTTTCTTCACGAATTCCTCGTATAATGTATATTGGAATACCAAATGCATTAGCTAGTGCTTGATTAACTAAAAAGCACATATCTAATCGATAATAATCTTCTGAACGAAATTTTTCGATTTCATTTTGAAAATCGAATGCTTTTGTATTATTATTCGGATATTTATCTATCCACATTTTTTTATAATTATCATAATGTTTTTGCCATTCTTTAGTACATAATTTTCTCAAATGTTTTGTAAAATTTAGATCTTGTCCATTTGTTATATGCAATATTGAGCATATATAATCATTTAACCAATCGTTAATTTCCATTGTCAATAATAACGATTTTGCTATAGCTTTAAAATGATTATTTTTTTGATTTGTTGACGTTGATTGAATTTCCAACATATCGTATCCTAGACGATCCAAATTTTCCATCAGTGTTAGAGCATGTAAACCGCTAGAAATGAAAACAAAAACTCTTATTACTGAAATGTCTTTACTCTTGATTCTTAAGTGTTTACCGTTCTTTTTTCTCTCTTTTTGGATTATTAACGTATTCTTCTAATAAATATACTAAACGTTGCCATTCTTTCGATATGAGATCTTCTTGTTTTAAAACTTTCATCAGTATATGTCGATCTCGTTGTAAAATATCACTTTGACCAAGAACTTCTAATACAGCGTCTTTATCAATTAGATGCGATTCACGATTACTATGCATTGATGATGAATCGTTTTTTGTTGTCGATGAATTAATCAATTTTTCCACTGAGTCTAAAACAGATAAAGTAAGCAATCAGCTAGGTAGTGTAAAAATAATAGTTGTTCATTTTTAACAATCGAAAGTTCCTTTTTAAGTAAGTAGACGATCATTTTTTGTTTTTACTAATCAAGAGTACATACCAACTTTTGTTCGATGATGTAATTGCGTGGTTTCATGATTTTGACTTTCTTTACCGGTTGTTGTTGGTATTTCATTTCGTTGTTGATCTCTTGATTTTGGTAATTTAGTGTTGGCCAAATCATTAACGTTTTGTTTTTTTCCGTTTCCAGTATCGTATAAATATTTCATATCTTTATTTGGTGAGAATTTCGTAGCAGAGGAAGAATTAATTTGGTTGAAATGATTAATTTTATCTTTAACAAACAATTGTAATTGTTTTCGCTCTCTTTGTGCTATATCGGTAGTAGAAATATAAATATCTTCTTCATCTTCTGCTTGCTGTTGATCTGTTAATGTTAAATCATGTTCAGATAACAAACTATTTACATCATCGTATCTACGGATATCATTAGCTGCCTCTTCCTCATCGATGAAATCACCATTAACAAATTTACTTCGTTGCTGTTTTCTAAGTGTATCGTGATCATAATGATATGAACTACTCTTTGCTCTTGGTGTATTGTTCTTCAATCGATTATCAGGATTTTGTGGATTAATCTCTCGTAATATGACTGTATCATCATCTGTCAATGAATTTGTGAAATCTGTTTCTTCACTGTCGTCTACATCTTCCAAAGTGACGCCATTAAACACGTTTCCTTTTTTAACTGTGCTTTTAAATGACATATTCAAATTGTTTCTTGATCGTTGGCGATCTTTATACGGGATAAGATGGCTACGAGTATTTTCGGTTGCTTGTCTGATGTCAGAAGAATGTCTCACAGAAGTCTAGTTTAAAAAAAAAATTTCTTTATTAAAAATACACACTGATCAAATAAAAAGTACTTTTTTACTGTCAAACTGTTCACAGAGTAAGAGAAATTTTAGTGTAAACGCTTTTTGCTCACTGAAGAAATTTTACATTTTTCTTTCTGTTTCCCTATTTGTCTGTTGGCTATGAGATATTTCTGCGTATATTAAATGTCAAATGATGTCAATTAACAAGATGCGGATGGCTGCACTGTCCTAACACATGAAATGATAAGTAAAAATTTATGACAGAAATAGATGATAAAAAAAAGAAAAATGGTAAATGAGGTACACAACACAATTTATAAAATCTCCTACCTCTGACAAATTTGAGGAAAGTAGCAATAAAAACCCTAAAAATCTATACCACCATGTTTTTCACTCGTATTAAAGCATAATGCGACTAAAAATGCGTTCTTTGAATGAATAAAACAATAGCTGATCAGAAATCGGGCAGATTTTGTATTTTCGTAAACAGGCTGAAATATTATTTCCTTACCGGGGCTCCTTGTTGAGTATTAATAGGCCTGTTAATTTGCCGTTGAGGTAATGAGATTATATCAGATTTTGATAAATTTTTTGGTGGTGTATTCTGATATGAATTGTTATTTGGTAGTTTTTGTTGCTGTTGTTGTTGCTGTCTACTTATAGTTTCTGTAATAATGGCTGGCCGTTTCACTGACGAAATATTGTTTGATTGTAATGGAGTTTGTGCAAATGTTGAGTATTCATCGGTTTTAGGTGAAGAATGAAGTTCGATATATTTGCTAACTGAACATGTAGCAGTAGTCTGAGATGGTGAAAATGAATTATTATTCGACGATTGATCGTTACTATGGTATATCGGTGATTTTTTCGGTAAATTTCCATTTTCAACGACTTTATTAAAAGCAGTGACAAATTTTTCTCTTGTTTTTGACAAAAAACTATTTTTCCCATCCACTTTCTTCTCATTTGTATTTGTTGACCTAGTGGCATCACCATACGTATCCTTTAACCGCATATTATTATCATGAACAGATAATTGGCGAGAATAGGAATCGATATTTGTAGAAGGATCAGAAGGATATGAAATATCTGACTGTTGTGATAATGGGTCAATACTTTCATAGATTTGATCATTCTCAGACGGTTTGTTTGATGTAGACGTTTTTTCGCTCGATTGGTTCATATGATGATTTTCAGTGACTGATGGTTCTTTTGAGGCCGTCATTCCAATCAAATTTCGAAGAGAATCTAAAAAAGAATCATCTCTTTAGTTAGAGTATGATATTGAAGTTCAATTGTACGATTACTTACTATTTGGTATTGCACTATCATAATGTTGAGTTGACTCATTTTTAAGCAAGATAATAATACCACTGCTATCTTTTATTAATATATCCACTCGTACGACATCCGGTTTTGATTGTTTAACATCGGAATTAAATACGATCATATTACATTGTATAACATGTGCTAGTGCGTATAATACAACTTTTTCTAGTTGATAACGATAATAATTACAATCAATTAAACTTCTTGAATCTCGTCTGATATCAAAATATTTCGTTTTTGTTTCTACATACGCTTCATAATAGTCAAAGTTTGATTTCAATTGTTTATAAGTCATATCACGTAATAGTATGGCTAGTTCATTTTCAAACATACTATCCATATTAAAATATTTTTTTATCCCATTTTCTGCCATAGGATTTTTAATTGAAATATTTTTTAAACTTTGTGCTGTTGCAGAAAATAGTGATAAACCTATCGAGCATTTTGGTATCACAGTTAAATGATATTTTTGAATTAGTTGTTCAAGATGATGTAGATGATTTGACAATTCATTTCGACGAATATCAACTGAAAAATAAATCGAAACTAATCGTCTTTGCAATACTTACCATCATAAGCTGGAAAATTACCGGGTTTATCTACCATATAATATTGTTTTGACACATCATTATAAGCAATATACAATGGCTCTTTTTCTAGAACATCTTCAGGTTGAACGGAAATCATTTCTTCATAAATGTACGATGTAACAAGACAAATTTCAATGCCTAAAATGTTCGCTATTATTTGTATTATTTTTCCATGATGTGAATTTTGCAAGTAGATCGATGGTGTACCACCGATTAAATCTGTTTTTGATGTTGGATTTGTTATTACTGATGATTTTATTTCAACGATACCATTTATATTTGATGAATATTCATCACAAAGCATTTTTAAATGAGTGCGAATATGTTGAGCAATGTTGGGAAAACCTGAGAATGTTGTTACTGTAGTATCTAAATGTATCTGTTTCATAAATTTTAATTTAAAACGTTCATTATATTCAACGTAAGGTATGAGTGTTCGTGCTATGGCATCATAAATATCCATTGCCAAACCGTAATTGTGTAAACTATGCTTGGTTATTCTTGATTCTAAACGTGTTGAATGTGATTTTGAATCTTCTTTATCGTGCAGATCGCTCGATCGTTTATTGGATTGGGCCGATAGACCCATGGTGTTTGTGTCTCGTTGTTGTTGTTGTTGTTGTTGTTGCTGTTGATGATAATGAATTTGAGATGGCATTGTGTGTTGTGGAATAGTAGTATTAGGCGTAGCGTTTAAAGCTTGCATATATGGATAGAAATGTGTCAAATTCATTGAAAGAGTCCGTTATATAAACAATCGTGAGAGCCAAGGAGGAAAATATTATTTATCGTTTTTACTCTTTTCTCTCTCTCTCTCTCCTTCAAAACTTGATAGTATATGATTGATAAGTGTTCATATTGTTTTGACGGTCGATCTTCAAATATAATATACATTGATGTAACATTTCAAAATACCTCAAAAAAAAAGGTATAAAAAAACGTTCATATATTGTCAAAAAGAAGAGGAACAAAAAACTTAACCTATTTACATCTCCTACTATAATCGATCGATATTTAGGTACAAAAACTAATTTCAATCGATTAAAAACAATCTATAATAAGAAATTTACTTTTTTTGATATGTATAAAATTAACACATGGAAACAAAGAAAGAACAAAAAGAGGAAAAAAAATTATATTTTCCACAAAATTCACTAACTCTTTATTCTTGCCGGTGATGTTATTAATTTTATGGGGCTTATATGTTTAATAGACAAAAGATATTAAGCTATAATTGAGTGGTCGATCAATAATGATTATGAAAAACTGTATTCAACAGGATCAACAATGAGAACGGTGTTGCATTACTGATTTTGTATTGCTATGATGCAGCCTATCTTATCTAAAAACCGGTAGATAATCTGGAGTTACCAACTTTTAAAGACTTTCTATTTTACATGAAAAAGTGGTATATGATGTTCCCTTGCCATTTTTTTTCAAACAAAGTATCTCCTACCTTTTATTACTAAACTCTTTCATGCGTGAACTATTCAGAATTTCAAATATTCATGTTCAAAATATAAGTGATATACAAACAGGCCATGAAGTATTCACCTCTTTTCTTTGTGTCCCGAACGACAAGGTCTGCAATGTTGGTATATTCGATTTTTTTTGATTAATGCATGACATTGAACTCTAGAAAAAACGAATATGATGTCGACAACTTCATTTGATAGTTCAAAAGCACAGCAATATTGCATCACTTTTGTTTGATGTTGATTTGATTACCAGTGGAATTTCTCATTCTGTATGAGTAAATTATTTTTATTCATTTTTACTTCACTATCATAAGATTTAATTTGAGAGATGAGAAAAAGCTTCTGCGTAGCGGCTCAGCAATATATTTCAGAAATTTTTATTTAAGTTTATGTTTGTAGGTTGTGCTGTTACCAGCACTGGTGTCATAGTGACTTCCGCTAACACTTTAGTGACTACTTTATAAGAGAAAACTTGCCAAGTTTTTTTATTTATAATTCTTGTTCATATAAAACAAAATAGCGAATAACGTCCTGATATCGGGAAATCTACATGTTTTTTTTTTCTAGGAACCTGGGCTGAATTGTTCAGAAATTCTAAAGGTGGTGATCTTTTGATGATTTCTGGGCGTGAGTTTTGACAAAACAACGACGGCTGATCTCCCGAAACCAATAATTAACTGAGCCTTGATTTTGCTGCTAAACCGAAATTTTTGGAGCATGACGCACGAACTTATCTTCTGCTCCTTAAACACAAGGCAGAGAAACAGAGTCAATCTGTGGACTAATATAAGTGCCATGCAAAATAAAGTTAATCACCTATAGCGTTCTGTAGTTTGACAGCAGAAATAAATTATTCGTCAAATTAAACAGAAGAACCTTTAAACTAAATAAAGTAGGTTGACAAGTTCTATGGATGAATGACATTGTGCGTATTCCATTTGGGCTTTTAATCGTACGACCAAATTTTAAACCCTCCTGTACGAAGAAACTGCAGAAACACAGCTTTAGATTTTACTCAAATAAATGATTTTCCTCCCTGATAGTTCATGTAGCTGAGTTACACTTTACAAAGATATTTGCAGCATTTTACAGTAAATCAAGGTCAAATTATTAACAGGCATCGCTGTATAACATCGAAATGAATGAGAATATTTATCTGAAAGCTTACAAAAATAGTATCTAATAAAAACATTTTCTCCCACAGTATCCTCAATAATTAAGTCATCTCAAGATCAATTTTAGCATGTATTTAGGGTATTCTCAAAAGACGTATAATGAAAATGATGTTTTTTTTGTTCTTTTTTTTTAAACAGAACACAAAATATAAATCGATTAAATAAAATTTTGCGATTTAAGGGCCTCCCCCTCAGAAATGGTGGTTTTCGATCAAAAAAATCGGTTTTAAGATACGCACATGGAAAGATAGCCTGAAGTGTCTAATTTTAGAACCTGTCTCGCTTTTGGTTACAATAGGGATGGTTTTTCGCGGATTTTGAGCTAGTTTTCTAGGAGCTTCAAAAAACCGGATCTTCAGATAATAGTTTTTTCCTGGATACTTATGCAATTAAAATCTTTTTAAACATACAGATTTGTAGAACAAACTTTTCTGATCAAAATCACACCTCGCACAACTCTGTTTAACCTTGCATCAAAAAGTTACAGGCATTTTCCTAGAAGTTCTAAAATTGAGTATTTCACACAGCGGTTAATACAGTGTTTTCTCTGTATAAGAGTCACACCTGAAGTATTTTCCAAGATTTTTAATAGCAGTTTATCGTAGAGAGTTTATTCTTTTTTTATTTTAAAGAGGAAAAGAAACTACATGGTCTGACCGGCGCCGATTTTCGAATTAAGTCGTAGTTTTTTTACCAAATTGAAGGCTTTTAGGAAATCCGGAAGCCGTTTTCGGGTTGGAGGTTGTTGGTTGCCTGGAAAACCAATAAAGGCTTAATTGAAAAATCGGCGCAGGTCAGACCATGTAGTTAGGTATCTAGCTTAAAACAAAACAAACCCGAACTCTCCCGCTTGAAGTATATTAAAAAGCCTTGGAAAGTACTTCAGGATCCTTTTTGGAACTTGATCTCTGGAATACTCCTGAACGGTAACTTGACTTTTGACTTGGAGACAAAAAAATCTTTTCATTCCCATAACTCATTAAGCCGAACATTTATTGAAAGTTTCGTCAAGATCGGATATACGGTGTCGGAGATAATTTATCAGAGAGGGACTCTTAAAACGGAAAAAATGTTGTTTTCATTGTGCATCTTTTGAGAATAGTGGCCGCAGTCATTTCTTTTATAAGTTTTTAACCGAACAAAATGAAGACCTATGGCTTCCAGTGTCTTGTAGCTAGTATCTGACAGCATCTTCCTATGTATAAATCAATTCTACCAATGAGATCTACTACGGTGTACCTGATCGATGTTCCAAAGGCAAGATTGCCGCTGCTTAACTTTTCATACAAGCCTAATGTTTGAAAATAGACCTGACGTAGAGCGAAATAATTTAGTCTACATATCTGCCAAAATCCGACAGCTCCATCTGCGATCATTCGAGCAGGAGCGGGCTTTCCTGAGATGTCCCAGAACCAGATTTTCTTGATATTTAGAAATTTGAAAACGCATGGAAACATAGGTTAGCGACCACGCTGAATCTCAAGGCAGTGTTTTTTTTTCGAAGAAACTTCAAAAAAGTAGTGAAAACCTATACTAGATGAAATAATCTATTTTTCTTCATTTTCACTGAAAATTAAAAATGCATAGCTCAGTCAAAATTGTTTCAAAGTGCTTCAAAATATTTTCAGTGAAAATGAAGAAAAATAGATTATTTCATCTAGTATAGGTTTTCACTACTTTTTTGAAGTTTCTTCGAAAAGAAAAAAACACTGCCTTGAGATTCAGCG